ATCATCTCATTAATTACACAGTGCATTTGTGTCCACAAATTTACCCACTAAGGACAAAGTCCCCAATGCTGGAAAATAAAATCCAACTTGGTGTGTCCAAACCTGCAGTCAAGCAACAGCTTCCTGTACTAAAGATAAAAGAAGTTTTATTTTTACTTTTCCTTTGGCTAAAGCAAATGCTAACACAGATGGCTACCCAATTACCTGGAGAATTTAGGATGTGCTGTGTATAACAGATGATGCTGTCTAGTTCTCTCACTGGAGCAAGAGCTATTGGTCATTTTGAGAACAGGTATGAAATAGGTTTTGATAAAAGGGTGAGTTTTTTCTGCCTGTGACATTTCTAATGGATTGCCCATGACACACATGACATACTGGCTTAATGCTTATTCAATAATAAAACTGTTCTGTTGCTTCTCTCTTGTGGAGAGGTTTCCTGATTTGGCAAGTGATTTAATTTTTAATTAGTTTCCCCAACACCAGCTGAACCTGGAAAGACAGGGCATGACTGAATTACACACCCTTAGGGGAAGGCCAGTTGTCTAAAGATCAAGCAGGAATGTTCCAGATCACACACATCACCAGTTATTTAGAGAGAATCTGGGAGTCGGGAGTAGACAAATGGACACCATTTGAGTACACATGCCTGTGGAGCCAGGACTGAAAGTGGGGGGGAGGGGGTACAAATACCCGTTCTGAGGTCCACTGTAGTAAGGTCATAGAAGGCATGATCATTACGCACACAGCCTGAAAGGATTATGGCTAGACTGCTCTGCTTCTTACACTTTAATATGCATATGGGTCATGGGTGACTGTGGTTCAAATGCAAATTTTAGTTTGGTTGGTCCAGAGTAGGGTCTGACATTCTCTATTTGTAACAGAACCTTGCAGGTTATTTTGATGTTACCTGTCCTGAAGCCACACTTTAAATATCAAGAGATAAGAGGGAGAGGATGAGGGTTATAGAAAGGAGGAAAGAAAGCAGGGAATATATCCAAATTAGGAATGGGAAAAGTCAGTTGAAAGGTCAAAGGACAATGTCCTCAGGGTGATAAGAAATTATTGCCTCCTCCCCCAAGAGGACTCTGGAGCTACTGAGCTATTCTACTCCCAACCAGGACTGATAGTACTAATTCTGGGCTATATAAAATTTTGCTGTTGTCTGGCATAACCCAGTCTATTTCTAATTAATTTTCCTCAAAATTATATTTCTGGCAAAATTGGACTACATTTCCAAGCTGTTCCGAGGATGCAAATTACCTAAAACTCAGTGGAAAAGTACCAAAAGGAAAATACTATTTATAAGTCTTTCTCAGGCAAAGCACTGTAGGTGTTTAGGAGAACACTTGGATAAATCGTTTGTAGGTCTGGGATGAGATTCTCAAAGATCAGACTGAAGTTAAAGTGTTTCCAAGGGATTAATGTGAAAAAAAATTTAGACTGCAAATAATCTGTAGAGGTTTTGCATCCATCATAGAATATCATAGAGACATAAAATGTTGACTTTGAAAGCAGTTTTGCACAGCAACATTCTCACATTCTAGTACCGGTGTTGCTGCAGCCTGAAGAAACCAAACCGGTGCATCCACAAAGAAGAGAGACAGTCCTGGGCCTTCCTTCCCTGATGGAGCACAGGGTTAAAGCACAGCACTGCGAGGCTGTCTGTAGCCACTGCCCAGCCAGTTCAATTCCCCACAAGAAGGTGATCCACATGGCGTGGCAGACCTCTCCTGACACGCCTGCTGCTCACCTCGGCAGTGTACTTCAGTCAATCTGCATGTGCTGCTCCCCACTCTGTCTCTGGCAAACCTTCTCACCCACTGCACTTCTAACCTGTACCCCAGTTCTTGTATGCATAAATAAATAAATAAATGCAAGTTCGATCCCCTGTCCCGGAGGTGATCCACAGTATCAAACCTCTCCTGACCCATCCGCTGCTCCCCTTAGCAGTGTACTTCATTGATCTGCCTGTTCTGCTCCCCACTCTGTCTCTGGTGAATCCTCTC